GCAAGGATCTAAGACAGCTCCAAAAGTCTCATGATGGAAAATGCTATCCACATCCAGAGAAAGAACTATGGAGTTTGAATGCAGATCAAAGGATACTATTTGCTCTTTTATTCCTTCTGTTTTGTTTTATTTCCTCTTTCTTGTGGTTCCTTCTATTGGTTGTAATTCTTCCTTACAACATGACTAATGTGAAAATATGTTTAATAGAAATATATATATAGCCTATATCAAATTGCACCCCTTTTTGGGGAAGGTGGGTGGGGAAGGAGGGGAGAAAAATTTAAAACTCAAAAGCATATGGAAGTGATTGTTGATAAATCAAAATAAATTAATAAAAAAAAGAAAGGAAAAAAATCAAAGAAAAATGTATCTTTGCTAAGTGAAAGTACTGAGTCTTTATTTTGTTTTGTAAGCTGTGAGCAAGGTTCTTCCTCTTCATCTGATGACTCACAGGGTCTCTTGTTTGGCTTCACTCTGGGGTCTTCTCTGTCACTTTTCTTTTTCTGCTCTGTTGAACAATCAGGGCTTGCCGTATTTTGTACAAAGGCCCAAGCCTCATCCTCAGTAGCAAACTTCTTGAACCTGGCAGCAGGAAATCTGTTCACTTGTGCTTAACATTCACTCCAAGTGGGGAGCTCGCCGGTCTTGCATGGAACATGCCAGCACTCAGGTGGCACGGGCCACAGCGGCTAAAGGCACCCATGACAACTCTGGGGCCAGCAGCCCAGAGCCTCAGCATGGCCAACTCTGGGGCATAGTGGCCATGGGGAGGACACTCCCCACACCCAGCATAGGCAAGGACTCGGGGGCTGGTTAAGTGTCTTTCACAGGCTTACCCAGCTAGCAAGTGTCTGAGGCCACATTTGAACTCAGGTCTTCCTAATTCCAGGCCCACTGTATCACCAGCTGCTTCCGAATCAGACCCAGTCCAGGCTGGTGCTATCTTGAGAAATTGGAACATAAAGAGTTCAATGAAGGTAGAGATTAGCAGTACAGAGGAAGATAAGCCTGGATTGGCCATCATGCTTCTTTTTAGTGGCACTTTTGGTGATGCCTGTAAAAGTGTTGGCTGCCTACTGTAATGTACTCTTCACTCATGGGAGATTAGAGAATAAACTGCCTGTGACCATTCTACAAGAAGAGAGAAATTCTACATTGCTGACCAATCTTCCCAGGACTTCTCTATCATGCCCATGCACTGAGTACTTTTACCACCATCCCCCTATCTACCCCAGCTTCCTCTGATAGATTTTTTTTCCTTCATTAGAATGTAAAATCCTTGAGGACAGGCACCATCCTTCTGTTTGTATTTGTATTCCCAGTGCTTAGCACAGTGCCTAGCACTTAGTAAGTGCTTAATAAATGTTTGCTGACTCACCTGACTTGAAAGGCAAAACACTCAGGTCCCAAGTCACCTGGAAAGTCCTAGACCTTTTTGCCCTTTGAAGTATGAGGAGGTAAATTTATTCCAGGAAATAGTATGGACTTGAGATATATGAAAATGCATAGAATCTACGAACGTCAGAGGTTCCCCAGGGCCAGGGGGCATATCTAGACCTATTCAAAGGAAATGTTTTAAGTATGAAGAAGTCTTGGAATGGCTTAATCCCCTGATCTGTTTCAAGCCTGATGTTTTGCTTTCTAGTACCTAGTATCCTGTCCCTTCAAAACTACTGTCATAATTCAAATGTTTATAGCTTAAGTTAAACTCTTTTCCCAGACCGCTTACCTCCTTCTCATAGTCAAAACACATTAAATTATATACAAGGGGAAAGAAAATGGGTCAACAGATTTTATGAGACACATAAATACTCAGTGCTTAGAAAAGCTGCCTGTATAGTAAGTATGTTACTGGCCAGTTCTCACACTTAATCAGTATACCTCAGGATAGTTCGTTTTCCTGCACCCTCTCAGGGGCTCCTGGCACCACACATGTAACCCAACACCTCACAGGCCAGTGAGTATTTCACCATCATGATCCAAACCTGATTGTCAGTTTTCCTTCCTAGGAACCTGCATGATGCTATTGAATTCACCCTGTTCACTAAGCTTATAATCAGCTCCTTGTCATATTCCTAAAGCTAACTCAGCATACTCTGGAGCAGAAGCCACCCAGGCCACAGGGCTATACAGATACCCTCGTACCTGAAGGCTCCAATTCAGTGTTAACTGTGAAAGGACTCTGACAAACTTTAACTGCAGACATATAGGACACATACTACTAATAACCCACTTTTCCTGGCAGCCTTCCTAAAAAGTCTGTATCAGCAGAACACACTGACACACACGAAGAAGACAGGAGACCAAGGGACCAAGAGGACCACTCAGCTGCCACCTTAATGCAAGCACAGCCCTCCCTGCTTCTCCTCAGATCTCATGTAATATAAGCACTCTGCTTTAGCAGAACTGTAATTGCAAGGGCTGCTAGGTGGCACAGTGGACAGAGCACCGGCCCCGAAGACAGGAGGACCTGAGTTCAAATTTGACCTCAGACCAAACACTTGACACTTATTAGCTGTGTGATAATGGGCAAGTCACTTAACCCCAATTGCCTTTAAGAATTGTAATTGTGTAGTAGCACTCAAAGTGTCAAAGACTACACTGTCTCTCCCACTTAAATAATTTGGTAACGTGCAACTCAGATGTACAGAAAAGCCAGTACTCTCTCAATTGCCAATTGCATACCGGATCCTGCTGCTTTCCAGAACTGCTGCTACTATCATGAGAACTGGGAGCTGTGGAAAATGAGGGCCACAGGCTGAGAACAGAAGGACAAAAGAAAAGGAAAAGAATCTTTATTTTAAAGCTTACACAATCAATTAAGTTCATCAAATGTGTAATAAGTACCTATTACGTGCAAGAGACTCTGTTAGACAGCAAGGAGAGAAAGACAAAAAATGAAACATTCTGACCCTGACACGTGGTAGTAAAAAATGGATTCCTGCTCTGGCTTGGGTTCTCCCAGACAAGTTCTGAGTCCACAAGCTCACAGACTCAGAAATGGAAGAAAGCTTAGAGTAGGAATTCTTAATCTTTTTCATGTCATGGACTTTCTGATCATCTGATAAAACCTAAGGCCCCTTTTTATTTTATTGTTTTTAATATTGTTAAATTAACAATTTAGTATTGTTAATAGAAAGCAATTACAATGAAATAAGATATATTTTTTCTCTATTCCAGGTTACAGGACCCCTGAAATCTATCCATGTACCACCTTGGGGGGTCTGTGGACCCCAAGCTAAGAATCCCTGATCGACAGGGTCATCTTCAACTCCTTCATTTTACAGATGAGGAAACTAAGGCCCAGATATGTTAAAAAATTCATCTAGGGGCACATAGTCAATGAGTATAAGAGCTGAGATTTGAACCCCAGATCCTCTGACCTCCAAATTCCATGCCCTTTCCACTGTACCACACTGCCTCTTCAATTCAGATTCTGTTTTTTCGCCTTCTTTTCTCCTCTCTATAACCCCTTGGTGATTTTTTCATTCCACCACTTTCAATCACCCATTTCTATGCAGATAGCTCCTAGGTCTCTAATTCTGATTGCTTTCCTGGGGTTCAGACCCACAATACATACTTCCTATTAGGAAGCTCTACATAAAGGGATTAAAAACTCAATACGCCCCAAACTCAGCTTCCTATCTCAGGTTTGACAGAGAGGAAACATAGGAGACATAAAAGAAAGAACATCTTACTGTTATCAGTGAACCAGTTGCTGTTCCTCCCTTCCACACTTCCACGCTGTGCGATTCTGGCTAAGTCACTTAATCTGTTTAAGTATTAATTTCCTCATCTATAAAATAGCCTAAAAATAATTTTAGTACCTACCTCACAGGGCTATAGTGAGGCTCAAATGAGAAGCAATCTGAAAACATTTTAAACTATGCAAATGGCCTTTATTATTATTATTATTATTTCCCCCTAAACCAGCTGCTCCTTTGGACTTCGCTATTTCTATCTAAGGCAACACCAATTACTCAGTCTCACATGTCCATAACCTTGGAATTGTCTTTGACTTTTCTCTCCATCTTTTATATCTGATCAATCACCAGGTCATCTTGATTCCACCCCAGCAACACCTTTAAAAGCTGTCCTTTCTTCCCTATTTCTTCTGCCACTACTCAGGACAAGACCTCATTACCACCAGCCCTTGCAATCACAACAGCCTTCTCTGGACACCAGAGTAATCTTTCTTAGCTATAGATCTGGTATCACTCTTCTCAAAAACTTCCAGAGTCACTCACTACTAACTGAAAAAAGTTCACATTCCTTTGCCTAGCATTCAAGGATCTCCATAAACTAGCAGAGTATTTTTCTGCTAGTTTTCTGTAGAATATTTTTCCATTTTTCTACACACTTATTCTATAACTAAACAGAACTACTCTCTACTACTATAATGCATAATGCACTCTCCTGCCTCCACCTTTGCTCATGTTGTTACCTACAACTGGAATGCCTTCCTCCCTTTCTGCCGCCTCTTCTGTGAGGCCTTCCCCAAACCTCTACCACAACCTCATTACATGGATCTCACACAGCACTGTTTTGCAATTTTTTAAAGCATTTATCACATGATACTGTTTATTACAGTAATCAGAGTTCTGTCTTCTCCTCTTCTTAAATCAAGAGGTTCCCAAACTTATTTAGCCTACTGCCCCCTTTAAAAAAAAAAAAAAAAAGATATTCAGTGCCCCCTAGGGTTAGGTTAAACCTTATTTTTATTCAACACCCCTCAATTGTACCCAAGGTTACTACCACCCCCCCCACCACGTTCCAGAGCCCTCAGGTGGCAGTATGGCCCACTTTGAATCTATGTCTTAGACTAAAAGCTCTATGAAGGCAGGGCCTTTCTTATTTAAAACTTTCTATCTCCATATGGAAGGTATTTAATAATTGTTTGGTGAACGAGCAAGCTTCTGGAATAGCATCTGTCCCAAATCAGGTATCCCTTTTGAAGACCATTAGGGTGAGTACCACATGAGTACTATGAATTCTTCTACCTTGTTGTCCATCACTGTCCACTGGCCCTCAGCATTCTGCTTGAAAACACAGTGGTTTCGGGAAATCATCAATGGACAAATTTTAGAAAGCAGCTGGTACGTGACATCGAATCCTCGACCAACTGTCACCTACAAAGACAATGAAAATGAGAGGCAAAATTAGATAAAATATTGAAAGAAAAAGGTGTTTGTAATAATATTAACCAGTAGTGTTTAGAACATTTTACAGGGAGGACCAGAATTATCTTTAGGCTAACTAAGTATGTTCATATACCCATAAATAAGATGTGCCTTGCTACCTGGGCAACTTTAACCAATGCCCACCTTTTTCTACTTCCCAAGATCATTAAGGGTAGATCATTCCAATATTTGCCAGCAGATAAAAATAACAATGAAAATAAAATCAAAAGAAGAACTTCAGGTCAATTTTGAAAGAAACATAAAGCAAATATTTTGTCTGTTAATTCATTTGATTCTATTTTGTTAAATGTATTTATTTTATTTTTTTTAATATTATTTATTTTATTTATTTATTTTTATTTTTATTGGGGTTAAGTGACTTGCCCAGGGTCACACAGCTAGTAAGTGTGAAGTGTTTGGTCTGAGGCTGGATTTGTACTCAGTTCCTCCTGACCTCAGGGCAGGTGCTCTATCCACTGTGCCACCTAGCTGCCCCTATTTTGTTAAATGTTAAGGGTCTATAAATTGTTTTTTATTCTGTATGTATGATTTTGTTATTGATTACATTTATAATAAGAAATCACGCATTTAGAGAATGCTTTCCACACAACCACCCTATGAGGTAGGTAATACAAGCATTATGAATACCATGTTTAAAACACAAATTTTTATTAATGTATTTTTAAAAATCACTCATATTTTCTACTATATCCCTCCCTATGCCCCTCCAAGAGAGCCATCTTTGATAACGAAGAATTTAAAAAGAAAAAAAGAAAAAAAAAGTCTCACAAACATTAACTGTGGTACAGGGGGCTGCAAATCAAAAGCATCAATCACATGGTTAGTTTTAAAGGGCCAGAGCCCCTCAAGACTTATATGCCATGTGAGACAAAGAACCAGTATGATATCAATGAGAGACAGCCCGATTATCTAATCTTAAACAGTGGTTAGAAACTCTATCCATCGTGACCCACAGTTTAAGAAGTGGTGAAGGGGTCATGAGTGGAAAAAGTTTAGGAAGCCCTGATCTAATGGACCAGTAAAACAAGGAGAGAGGAGCAAGGAAATAAAAGACTGTACTCAAATTTGTTTTCACCTGTTAACATTAGCCAAAATAACAACAACAACAAAAAAATGTGACATAAGATGGAGTATTACACAAAGAGGGTGAGGTGTCATCTCATTTATCTTATTTGAAGTATATTCTGGTTGTTATAATTCTTTAGCATTTTGCTTTGACTATTGTTTTGTTGTTCTGTACACTGACATGTGTATATGTATGTATTTTCCTGGTTCTGCTCACAGTACTTCAGACTTTATCCATCAGTTCACAAGAGCCTTTCTATACTTCTCTGTATACACACTGTTCATAATTTATTTAATTTTATTTTTATTCAGAACTTAAACCACTGCCCCACAAAAAAGGACTTTTCCATATAAAGAGCAAGATCAGAAAGTTTTTTTGTTTGTATTCCCTTCCTGGTATTCTCCTCCCTCTTAACTCCTCCCTCTACTCCTATCCTTCCTCTTTCCCCTCTTAAACCCTCAGAAAACAACCAATCTGATCCCCAACTCCTCAATTGTTGTTGTTGGTTAAATTTAACTCAATGACTACCCTCTGAAGTGTTTAAGTTCTGAAGGGACACTAGTTTCTTCTCCCTCATTATAAAATCCCATATATACACCAATAATAATAGAAATAATAGAGTAATAATTAGCAATGATATAGTGCTTTGAAGTTTGCAAAGTGCCTCCCATATCAACTCATTTGATCCAAAATGTTCCTACCAGTACTTTTTGTGGCAATAAGAAACTAGAAACAGAGTGGTTACTCCTTAACTGCTAAATGGCTGAACTGAATAGGAACGGATGTCGTTATATTTATATCACAATATTATAGTACTACAAGGAATAAATAGGAAGAATTTAGAGAAACTTGGTAAGACTTGTATGAATAATGGAAAGTGAAGTAAAACAGAATCAAGAGAAAAATATATACAATGACTAAAATAAAGTAAAAGAAAACAAGAGTAAAAGGCATCTGAACTCAAACAAATGTAATGCTAGAGAACTGATGATGAAATATACTTAACTTCTCTAGGTAGAAATGTGGACTACAGGTACAAGATGAGGTATATGCTCATTTTACAGATAGAGAAATAAATAACAGCAAAGAATCCACTCTTTAAACAGCATGAATCCATTATTTAAGAAATCTTCCCTATCATCAATCTTTTATTTTATTCCTCTACTCTAGGTTTCCTATGCCTTTAAGTATAGAGGTTTTACTTTACTGTTTGTAGTTTTTCACTTACTGCTTTTGAATTATTCTCTACTTGTTTCAAGTTGCCTGGTGTCATGGAAAAAGTGCTGAATTTTAAATGGATCTAAGGTCAAATCCTGGTTCTGTCAATTAGTAAGTACCCTTGTGGCTTTGGACAAAAAACTTCTCTCTCAGGGTCTCAATTTCCTTGTCTATAAAAAGAGAGGGTTGGACTAAATTTTTAAGGTTCCTCCTAGCTCTAAATCTATGATCCTATTGCACATCTGTTGTCTCCCTAACTAGGTAATGAAAAGCACACCAAAGCAATTTTGTACTCTGTATTGAGAATGTTAAAGTCTTAAATGGATTAAAAAAAATACCTACCCTCACAGAAGCATGACCTAGTTAGGTGGACATTAATATTTCGATGTACCTATGACCTCATCGATGTGGGCATATCCCCTTCTGCTTGCAGATCAGTCAATCCACACCCCCCCCCAATTCTGTGAACTCTGTCCTCATACATCCACATGGGTCCCTCCCTCTCTCATGACAGCTTTTCACTAGGTTTTTTTGCAATCTGCCTACAGCAGCAAAATACTCTGGCTAGCCGTCTCACATCCTTCAGCACGAGAAGCTTCTCCCGTTTCCAATCATATTTTTCCTTCCTACTGCCACATCCCTGCCTCTGGCTCTCCACTGTTCTTTGGTCCTCATGCAACTTTGATTTTTCAGAGATCACAGCATTCCAAGATTCACAACTATAATATTACTAGGAGATGACCTGTATTTTAAAAGTGGATCTTTGTGTTGGGAATCAACTCGTTAGGCAGCTACATGGTACGGTGGATAAAGCTGGACCTGGAATCAAAATGACCTTACTAGTTGTATGACCCTGGGCAAGTCACTTAATCTGTTTGTCTCATTTTCCTCATCTATAAAGTGGGGACAAGAACAGCACTACCTCCCAGGGTTATTGTGAGAAATATTTATAAAGCACTTTGCAAATTTTAAAATGCTATATAAAAGCCAGGTATTATATGCTATTATCTTAGAGAATACTAAACAATTTTCCAAATGTAAAGCCCTATGTTCTTCCTCCAACTCAGTTCTGGGTTCAACTGTCCATCTTCAGTGCCTATCCCAGATACATGTGCTAGGATATTATCACAGTGCACTAATCATTCAGTGGCATGTCATAATATGAACAAGTTATTTTTCATCCATCCAGTTTGCCTATATAGATTATTAGACTAATATTATTTATTTATGGATCTCATTGAGGAAGCAGCCTATAAGGTTGCAAGGACTGATATTATCTGTGCATAAACAGGAACATCTGGAGAACCTCATCATCTATAGGGAATCCCACTAAGATTCAGACCTTGCAGAAGACATCTTCTATAGCAAGAGTGAGCTCCTTTGGTGAACATACATCTCCTTGATACTTGAAGTGACATTAATACTAATCACAGTGTCACTGAAGAGTCATCAGTGACAGAGGAACCACTTTAGTCCTCAGTGTGCTATATGATAAAGTAGAAATGGCAATTAAGATGAAAAAGTTAGGAACAACTGCTGAAGTAGATGCCAATCAGTACACACAGAAAAAGTTCATGACTGAGGAAATACAATCTTACAACTTACTGTTTTGTTTTCCAAAATACCAAAGAGGAAGATACTCAAAAAAAGGTGAGTGCAAGAACATCACTAACTACTGATCTATGTTTAAAATATTTATGCAAATGATCTACAGAGATATTGAGGGCATTTTCAATGAAAACGAGAAAGGAAAGGAGAAGGCTTTTGCAAATGATTCTCTACAGCGACCATATCTTTTCAGTCATGCAACTGAGTAAGTTGCAGACAATACCAGATCTCACTGTTCACCATTTGATGCTTTAAAAAAGCATTTGACTTAGTAAAGCAGCCTCAAAACAACCAAAAAAAAAACCAAACCACCCTCTCATGGGAATGTAAGTCTGATAAATTCAATCACCAAAATCTATTCAGTCTTCTGATTAACATAAAAAATACTTGAAAGAACCAATATGAAAAGAAATTTAAAAATATTTACAGAGTAATCTTTCATTCACTCCTGCTTAGGTCATTATGGGTTCTCAAAGTCTATGTCAAAAGCATACAAGTTCTAAAAAGTTCTAACCAGGTTGGAATTTTTTTTTTTATCATGTGATAGCAACATTATCTACCAAGGTCCTTGCCATGTAGGCTAAACTAGTTCCCCTCCAGCCTCCCAAAAAAAGTAATAAAGCCATTCTTGAGACTTTATTGGTCCAGGAGACTAAAACTTGAACCATTTCCTGGTAGCCTAAATACAAAAGCCCAGTGCACATGGAGTCAGGAGTTCTTCCAGCTTGACACATAATTCTGGGCAGGGCATCATGATAAATGCAGAACCAAGAGAGCTATGCCTTGAAACAATGCTGTTTCCTAGCTGAATATCCCTTCCATGTTACTGTTAAGTAGAACTCTTTTGTTAAATATTACACAGCGTACTGTTGAAAGGAAAATTCTTCATTTGGGTTTTTCACCCTGATTAACTCAGGACAAACAGAATTAAAAGGATTTTATTATAAGTACATCAAAGTAGCAAAATGTAGACTGACTGATCACTTAATATCAGCAATGGCTTCATCAACCAAGGCTTCAAGGGGGCACAGCAACT